AGTTTTTGGTTTTAGTTGAGTAAAGGGGATTAGACACCATGCACGACGAGTTCCAATTGAGCAAACAAGGGTGCTGTTACGAATTCCGGATGGGGAAAGGCAAAATTTGCCACTTCTACCTGTGAATACAATAGGATCTTAAAGTTTTATCAGATTCAATAGTGAAATTGCAATAACCTGCAAAATTGACGAACAAAAAAAAAAACAAGGCAAATAGTAAGGATAAAAGTCCTTGGGCAACGATCAATCCCGTCTAAGGTATTCGCCTTGCACTCGATTTCCAATCAGAATCGTAGTGCCGTCCTCACTGCGTACATATGTGGCCTATTCAGTGAATTTGGGTAGCCAGCCGATGTGCAACTCAGCGCTTTTACTCTTCCAGACACGTCTGGTAATAATTAAGCCTTTCCGAGAAGTATGGAGGGCTTAGTTGGCCTAATCGACTTCCGCTCCGGGATTCAAACCCGTGACTATGCGTGTGACAGTGCACCACTTGTCACTTCACCACCTCCCTCCACCACTTCTTTACTGAGTAATAAATCACCTAGTTTCAAGAAAGGCAGACATGGAGATTGTTCAGCTGAATTTAGTACATTGAATAAAAAGAAACTAGTCAAAGTCTCAAAGACACAGATTTGTTTACGTTCCCTCAAAGGATTCTCAAGCAAACAGGTATTATACAATATTTATGAAGAGCATGTATGGTATAAGACAAATTCGATATCTTTAAAACGAGAGGCGCTCTGCAGCTGAACAGTTCGGAAGAACTGCTCAATTCTAGTTGTGTTTCACTCCCTAGGATGGCGTCACCAGTGAGAATATGGAAAGAAAACAAGCTTAGTTGACGACTATATTCTGGATCTTACTAGTTTCAATTTTTTGGCAGCTTTGGCTTGTACGAAATCCGTAATGAATTGTGCCATAGTGATTAACATTTTTGCTTCTTTTTAAAAGGTTTTTTTTTCTTCGGTGCGGAACACTCCGATCTCTCGAACTCGAATTCTGCTGCTCATACACTCAGTATTGAACCTGCAAGATGTGTTTTTCAATCATGGGATATATTTTCGAATCTAACTTGTCATTCACACTCCCAGACACTCCACTGCATTGAAAAACATCACGAGAACCACTTTGAATGCAGAGTTTTCTCTTTGATAGGCCGTTGTGACTTTCTTTTTACACTTCCTTATACTTGTCAAATAACTTGTTAATCAGTGTAGACTAACCTGTCAGTAATCACTCAACGGTCTACTACATTGTACAACATGCAACGAATTTTTCTAGAAACAAAGAGGAAAAAACAACAGGAACAGAGGGAGGAACAGAGAGGGCCTTTCTGCCCTTTTTGAGCACGATTTTCATAATTGTCTGCGCGGGTGAACGATTATCGATTCACAGATAGACAGGCCATGCATTCCTTTGCCACCTCGTTTTTTTGGATCCAATGATTCCTGACGGCTATTCATCTGATGATCGATAACCGTGAAAACCCTCATATAAGAAAAATCGCCAACTTTTTCTGTTCTGTATGAAAACCCTATTTCCAGACAGAAATGAACAACTTTCGGCTCGCAATTATATGGTTCATCTTTGTTGTCGCTGCCTTGTCTCAGGTGATCACCAGTTAACAATCGATATTTCAGTTATTCTAAAACGCTTCGATCTGTTTTGAAGTGCTCAAACCATTGATTATAAGCCGCAAAACTAGCGGGGAATATTTTTTATACAAACATAAAAACGTTCACATGGTACTAGCACACTGCGACCTGTTTGGATAAGATCTCTGAGAGTTTTGTATGGAAAAGTTCCTGCTCAAAAATTTCCTGCTCCATCCTTAACATCTGCTGACGAAACAGTAAATAAACAGTATAGGTAATTTTCAGAAAACCCTAATTTCCCCTTAGGACCCTCTAATTGTTTTAATGGAGAGCGGTTCCTTTGAGGGTGCAATACTGCATCACTGAAATTTCGGGGGAACTTGCCTTTTTTGAAAGTTGACCTTTTAGTCCTTGGCAGGTAACTGTTGAATCAAGGCTGGCAGCTAAGAATTTTTTTCGCGTTTTTGAAGTAGTATGTATTTTTTTATTATTCCAAATTAGAAGTATTTTACCTGGTGGTAATTACAGAACTTTTCACTACTCAATTCATGACAGAAGTTATCATTACCAATCCAACCTAGTCCTGAACTGCTACTAAAACACTTATAAAAATTTAAAAAATACGAGGGAAGCTACAGTCGCATACCATATCAGTTTAAAGTATGATTACTGAACAGCAATGAAGCTAGCATGCCACATACTTGGCTTATACTCATTTACTTACTCCGATCGCATCCTGATCAGGTAAAAGGTAAAATGCATCGGTAGAGAGCTTTCAGAAGGTAACCATGCCACTCCAGAAAGGTCGGCTGTTCGTCTCTTCCACCTTAACGCTACCTTACAAGTTCCTTACATGTTATTACTTGAAAAGCGTCTCAGAGGAAAGAATAGCAGTTCCAACTTTTCAGCTGAGCGCATCTTTTAAAAGCCTTTTCAAAAAAAGAGTGGACTCTTTCTTGATTTCTATTTTTTACAGCTATACACAGAGCATTACTATCAAAATCCTTTTGTAAAAGTTAGAAAAAAAAGTACTTCCTTTACAGGAACATGAGGTCTTTACGGAGGGCAAGCAAGCAGCAATGTACCCACGCGCTTTTCCTTTCCATATGTCGCCCAGAAAGCGATCTACAGGCATCCGATTTGATCCCAGTGCACCCCGCATGAGCTCTGGGAAGCGAAATGTGAGTTTAACTATTTCTGGATGGATGATTCGGTAACCCTGAAGTGACTTTCTCACTATTTGCCTTTACTTCCCCATCAAGTGGTTTTGACCGAAAAAGACTTTTCAAACATGACGGAGCTTTGTAGTAGCCTGTACATGTTTCGCGTTTCCAGCATTTATTTTGACAAAGTCCCACGGGTTTTTGGACCCTGATTTTCAAGTATTCATTCCGAAATGGAAAAATTCATTAGCTTCTGAACCTTTCCGTTCTCCCTATCCCTCCTGTTTAAATAGCTTTGATACAACGTTGCAGGCTTATGGGTCCAACGAGTGGAACAAAGATATCAAGGAAAACACCAAGAGAATGGACATGAGACATGACTTTGTGGGACTTGGAGATCGCTAATCCTCATTTATAAACATCCGTTTATAGTTATCTTTGCACTCCAGCACCATCGACCTACTTTTAATTCTATTCTCATACGCTCACTCGTCTAAAACGTAGTGATCCGATTCCGCTACAATAGCCGTTATTCGTATTTAGAGCAAGCTACTGTGCATTTTTAGACCCATCCAATGTGAAAAAATAATAAGTTTTCCATTCTGTTACGGTTTTTTTGTGATTTCTTCATGTTAGAAAGCTCTCGTTCCCAGTTTCGGAAATCGGAAGCACGGTGAAAAGGTCGGAAGTCGAAATAAACTGATGGCCAAAAATGTATCATGGAGCAGTAGTGCCATCACAAGTTGCACATGTCCTCACGCATAAGCTTTCAGAAAGTTCGAAATCGCTACGAATGGTTTTGTTAGCCAGGATTTTTTCCCACAGCAATGAATCTTTCCTATTCCTTTTTTCTAGGGTTGCACTCCCAAAACTTTAGATCCCTCGGCTGCCCTTCTTTTTACCGAAAATTGGTACTCTCTTATGAATTAGTCCCTTTGGGCTCCACATGGGACAAATCAATGGCTGCGGCTACTGTATCCTTCCACTGGGAATTCCAAGCATTCCTTTCATAGCGCGCGACTGCNCTCTGTCGTGTGCGGCGAGCGCGACACGATCTTCGGGGATATGTACCCACACGCAGTATATCCGCTGCCCGTTACCACGTCCATTGTCCTCAACTTCAGAAGCCTTCCAAGTGGGGAGCATCAGCTAATCGAATTCAAAAAGGCAAAGATAGACTAGCACTACAGGTCAAGGCTACAGCTACATGATTGGCAAGAATAAACAAAAGCAAGAAATAAACAACAACAAACAAAAATCAAAAGCATTCAGTTTTTATCTATTTATTTACGAAGAGAACGTGTAAACAAGAAATCGTTTAACCCGGAACGGTTCAATATCGCTACTGTTCACGATCACAAAACGAGGAGACAACGGCAAATTTATGCATCACAGGCAAAACTCGAACACATACACACACACATGATTGTCAAGCAGGCATGCTATCCACTACGCTATCAATATTTCAACAATGCCCTTCATTAATTTCATTGGTATTACTTAACATAGCCTATCACTTCACACTTTATGTAGGAACTAGTAACTAAAACATTAGTTGCTCCACGCCGCTACATATACTTCGATGGATAAGATGGAGTAGAAAACAATTTAAATTACAAAAAAAGCGCGCTGTGGTGAACTCGAAATAATAGTTTTCAAATAAACAAAAGTTAGAATAAAAAGGATTCGCACATACAAAATTAAATTTGAAAGTTTCTGAAGACAAAGAGAATGATGAAAGATAGTATCACTAATGATTGGAAGCAGTCGTTCAATGAAAGTTTCAAAGCTGACTACTGCGAACTATGATTGGTCAATGAATGCAGCCACCAATCACAACCACTCTAGGCATGGGCTCTACATCAGGATGTACGACAGAACATAGACTGAGAGTTACTGAATATCAAATTTTACAGTATTTTATGAAGGATTTTCAGTTATTCCTAAAACTAATTACCGTAAATCCTTCATAAGCACTCGTTACAACATTAAAACAAAGTTACAATAATGAATTGTACACCAGACAATAAATATGACATGAACGTCATGATAAATGACCAACTGAGTAGTAAATGAGAACGATTCTTGAAAAAAGGGTGAAGGTAAACGATATGGGTGTGAATTTTGGTCATTCAGAAATCATCACAGGTAAATGCTCTTTTACAGGGAATTCAACAATTACTAGTAAACGTGTACGTACACAAATCTCTATAACCTAAAACATTCCGTGGCAGTAACACTACAAAGAGTCGATTTTACTGAGTATTTCAGCCACGTATGCTCCAACCAATTCACTTAGATTATCCATTGAATTATAGTGCTGATAGAAAACCGTATTTTGCAAATCCACAAAAGTTGGCCGACTCTCTTGATCCTTCGTTAAACTGTAAAATACCAAACATTGTTAGTGGAAAGTGAAAAGGGGAACACGGCCCCTCCCATGGCGCCGCCCATTCAACGCGTTCCTGAACTGAACAACTCGTCCTGACGATTCACCGTCCTGACCACGCTAATCGGCGAATCCACTGCCCATCCAGCTGGTGTACAAACCGATCGATGACGCCTCTGGTAACGCGTCTACGCCGAATTTCGGACCTATTGTACTCAGTCTATTTGCATGGATTGGCGTGATCAGGAGTTTGAATTACCTGACGAGTTGTCCAGCTCACAAACCGCGTTGAATGGACGGCGCGATGGAAGGGCCCGCGCCAAACGACATATACCCAAGTAAATTACAAGAAAAGTTTGATATGTGAGAAATCACTACTACAAGGCTAGCTACAAAAGTCGATATAGTAGAATAAAAAATTTCGTACCAGTAATGTATGAAGTTTTTGGTTTTAGTCGAGTAAAGGGGATTAGACACCATTGGTGCATCACCATGCACGACGAGATCCAATTGAGCAAATAATGGCGCTGTTGTGAATCCCGGATAGGGAAAGGCAAAATTTGCCACTTCTACCTGTAAGTATCAACAGAATCTTAAAGCTTTATTAAATTTAATGGTGAAATTGCTAGAAGCTTCAGAACTTATTTGGAAAAAAAACAAGGCAAAGAATGTACCATCGATATGCCTAGGGACCAAACATCGGATCTGATATCGTATCCTTTTGAAAATGTCATCAGACGTTCAGGCTGAAATTACAACTTATCAAACAAAAGAAGCAGGGAGTCGTTTGTTTTTTTAACAACTGAAGGAATAGTTCCTGATTTTGGGGATTGAATACTTAAAAAAGAATTATTTATGACGGCAGCGAAGATGGAACAACCTGGAAAAACAATTAATGACGGCCGTTCATAGTGTGCACTACAGCAAATTGCGGACCGAATCCTCTCAAGCTCCTCCCAAGCCTCTCGTTCTTTGATACTAATTGACTGATACCACTCTTGTTTGAGGAAAAAGGGGAACGATGGGAAAGGGGGATGGAGAATAAGATTCAGAGTCGGTACGTTGTCGAATGATAGCCTTATTCGTGGCGCACATCGATAGTGGAGCACCACTTTTGTGAATGCTCAATGTGCTTTTTATTGACAGAAGGTAAACAAAATAACTGCAACTACATAGGCAGCTGACAAAACCCCTAGAAAACGACCTTGTGACAAAAATGTCCTAACGAAACTCATTGATCAGGAAAACCACCCGATTAGTAAGAAGGCAGTGACCTCATCGAGGCCATCGCAAACCTAATGAATTGTCTAACTAGAAAGGGCGCCGATCTCAGACTTTCGCAGATTTATATGGAAATATTATACTTTCGTACCAGAGAAAACGATCATACCAAGATCGATAGTAGTTACTCGATTCGTAAGTAGCCTCGCTCACTAACTGGTCCTACTCACTCCGTTCACTGCTATCCGCATTCTCCCTGACCGGCGTCTAGCCCCAAAAATTGCTACGCTTTAAAAAAATTCAGGGATTTAGGAAAAGAAAAGTAGAGGTTTGTAGATGGTTACTTCCTCAAGTATAAAGAGATATAAATAAGTCTTACAGCCATATATGGCCGACATCCAGCATCCTGAGTCTGAGCCACCGAATCTTGTAGATATCCGCAGATACCGAAATCACACAGTTTTACTTCTCCTTTCCTATTCAACAGAATATTTGAAGGTTTCACATCTGAAAATGTAGTTATGGCCTGCTTACCAGCAAGATTCAAAAACAAAAGCAAACATTATTTGCAGAAATTCAACAAAACCAAAAACCTACCGCGGTGAATAATATGATATTGACTTTTCATATGGTTCAAAGCGATGATGGTCTGAAAAAAACAACAAAATCAAGATATAATAGATCACACAAACGATTGAGTTTCAAAGGCGGTAGAGCATGAGGGCGGGATCATTGAGATCAATAGGTACAAGACATTGAAGGGGAGATAGCGAGTCTTCACAAATCACGCCCACAAACTGAAATAAATCTCCCCTAGATAAAACTCACATTGATAGCAACACTTCCTAACGTATTCTCATCAAATGCAGGATAACCCAAATCGTGTACAGCCATATAGAGTCGTTCCAATGAAATATCCATCAGTTCCATACAAACTAGTCCATCTCCCTGAAAAATACTGCAGATCATAGGGAAGTTAGGAACAACTTTTGTTTATAAAAAGTTGTTACAGTATCTTCCAAACATAGAAATGCAGTGTTTCTAATTCAAAGTCAAGGTAAAGAGCGCTGTCAGGAGGTTGAAAAACGGTTTCGCGACAAAATCAGGCGGAGACTTTCCGTGTTAAGCTCCGCCCCTGAATGACCAATGGTGAACGCCTCGAATCATCCAAATCGGCTAATCATGGATCATCTTCCCGGTTCGGTGCAGCCGCTCTTATCTGTCCCTGCTATCCCGACTTCACAATCCCTACTACAATCTGGACTAGATCACTCTCGCACGCTTCTGAACTAATGCTTCAGTATCTTTTTTCATGACAGACTGCTGGCCAAAACTCGTCCAACTTTACTGACTCTGAATTACCGCATACATCGCCTTCAAGTTAACCGTACTCATTGCTTACGAGTCTGAAGGCCGTTTTTAGTCAAGCGCGACTGAGTACAACTATATTTGAATTTTCAGAACAAATGAGGAACGAGCCACAAACATTCATCTAAAAATCGAGTTCCCTCTAGAGTTACATTTGTACTTTTCCGTAACTACCTTCATAGTAAGAAACGGTTCGTCCTAATACAAACCTCGTGGAACGTTATTCCGTAAAATTGCACGATCTGCTTACAGTTACTGGCTGATTTGATAGCATCTACTTCTTGTTGAAGCCGTTTCATTGAACGGCAACTGGCAACATCATCCACACCAGAGCTGACTATCCGAACACGCTGAAAAATGACTAATCATCAAATAGAGAAGTATCAGTTTTCTACTAGTTTTACTGTCAAAACAGAACTGAGACTAAGCTACAGCCCCATTCAGACCAATGCTGTCTACTAACCTCATATACTTGAGCCTGTGTACTAGCAAAAAATAAACTTTCCAAACAACTTGTTTTATTTGTCTGCAGCATGGATTTTTCGAATAAATATATAATAATAATCAGTACTATAATGCGACAAATATTTCTATACTCTAATAACAGTACATTTAATTAGCATTAGTTCAAAAAAAAAGTTGTTTTGTGTAAGCAAACAATGACTGCCAGTTTGTTGATGGCAGACGCAATTCTGTCGCAGCCACCAGAATATAACCCTTCAAGGGTGAAGATGTATTTCCTGCACTGGATTTTGGAAGAGGCTTCAATAATCGAGTTCACTCTGTAGTTAAGCCCAACTCCACGAAAGTGACTTCTTTAGGAAAAACAGGTTTTTTTTCATCGCTTCTCCGAGAAGCAGCTGTCGTGATGCAATTAGGAAGATCGAAAATGTTCAGACAACGTCATAGATAGGAATTATTGATTTTTCCTATCGACAACTTAAGCCTTGGATGGAAGCCAAGAATTCAGAATTAGAAATGCCTAGATATCAATCTGCAAATCCCTACTAATTTAAGAGTCCTCTAAGAGTCAGGACAACTACTCCTCATATACCTTCAAGACAGTTATATGGAAGGGCAGTAATCCTAGAAATGTTAACTAGTTACCCAGACATGCTCGTTCATACAGATCGTAACGCACAAATAAATTACCTGAATTACTAATTTCTTCTTGATTTCATAAATTACTTTTTACTTTTTAAATAGAAAGCGTATCCAAAAACAATACGAGTTATCTATGTCTCTTTTGCACACAATAATCTACAGTAAGACTTACAAGTAATGGTATAAAGCTAGATGCGCAAATAGGAACACATGCGGCGGGAACTTAAAAAGGCTTCCTGCAATTATCGATTTTTGTTGGGGTCGCAGAATGCAGCGGTGACCTTTCTTCTTTTCCTTTACAGAATTTTATCATGCTAATGAGCAAATCTTCCAGTGGAACCGAATAAACTCTAGGGAAGGGACAGACAACTCTGAAATTCTATGCAAATTTTGAAAACTCGTAACTCACTATTTTCAAAATTCTTATTTTAATTAAATTTTGAAAAAAATGAAATTGCTCCCCAAACCACAAGGAAGAAAAGTATGTTTCGACCAGTTTTACAAATTTTTACGTCTCAATGAAACAAATCAAGCCAAAACACAAAAAGGACAGCGATAATCATAGCAACTTTATATCCTATCAGGTTTTACAAAAACAAAAACTACCGGTAAACATGGTATTCGCTATTTTGAACAGAAGTTTTACATTCACAACAATATTCTTCAGATATTTACCTAGTAATTTATCTATCTACTGAACGTGGAAAAACGACCACACTTTTAACTCCTTAAATTTAGCCTTGGACTTTCCAATCCACCTTCACCCATATTACAATACTTCAGTAACTCACCCGTAACTCCGTGACTTTTACTCCTAAGAACCCATGAACGGAACTCCTAACTTCCTAAAGAATACCATATTTTAAACAGTAATGGGCCCCCATTACAACCCGCCCTGGTAACCCTTACAATGGAATTCCCATAAGTTGATTATTCAGTTCGAACGAATAATTATTAGATTTTTCGTACATTTAGCTTTCATAGTCTGGCACGGTTTATGTTTATACTTCAAAGGTGAGTTGAATAAACAAATTATTATCTATTTTGGCAGTTTGACAGGAAGCTTTTTTTGTTATTTGCACAAATTAAATGCATTTTCCAAACAAAAAAAGGAAAGCGGAAATGATTATTCATAAAACCCTACTATTCAAAACTTTTATCATTACTAATACGTATTAGTGATTCTGCAAAACTATCGATTTTTTCTGACGATGATGCAATTTTCGAAAATCGTAGCGGACGTACTTTCACAGCCATTTCCGTGCCCGTAGCTGTATGTCGCATCTTCTTTACAGTTCCAAAACTTCCATTACCAAGTGATCCTAATTCTTCGAGATCTTTAAATTCAAATTTGTATTCTTTTGTATCTGGTGGGAAGACCAGTTTGTCGGCAAGAAACATACGTATATAGTTCCTGAAATAAACTAATACTTAGTAGGGATGTATTAAACGAAATATAAAAGGTTTAAGTAAAATTGAACCTACTGACATAGGTTTCTCTATGAGCTAGGTAATAGAGGCGCCCTTAACAACGACACAAACAAACCAAGCGTATATCTATCTCTACGTGGACCACCCAGCGACAACCGTCTCCCCGCCACTCCTCCGTCTTACTACGTACATGTTGCGAAATCATTTTTTTCCCGTTATAGATCCAACTTAAAGATTATCCGTCCATTCTAAGAATTACAGTACTGAGAACCATTAATCCAGCAGTACCCCTCCGAACAACCTTACTAATGATTAAGGATTCTGATCAAAACACTTGAAATGAAGGCCTCACTCCGGACGGCTACACACGCAGGCCCTCCTTTCCGTACCAAAGGTCTTTTTCTGATGCGCCGTACATGTGAAGGGGGGAGTCTAGCACATTTTAATGAGGCTAACCCGTCGAATAAAGCACCTCGTATGCAAATTTCTGCGGCCAATGCATTTTATTGTATTTCACCTTAGGTAAGAGTTTGAAATTTCATTTCTGTGGATAGTAATGGTAAGACAGAATGAGTACGGTTAATCAGTATACATTTAATTTATACAGCCTCTTCCTCAGACAAACCAACACACACTCAATAAAGGGCGAGGAAGGTAATCTGTTTAGTGAGAAGGTGAAGAGAAATATTTTTTTTTATTTCGATCCCAGTCTGATTTGAAATTTTTTATGTTCAACCAAGTGATTTTACATGTTGAAATGTTTCAAAATGCTGCAATTTTCCTATTACACGTCTTCAGATGTCTTCTGCTGGTTCACGAGGACTGTCAGGGTAAACTGAATTCTGCCTACGATAGAAGAAATTCAGTTGAACTGTCCTCTTTTATCGACACGAGTGAATAGCTTATTATGATAAATTCAAAGATACTGCATAGTTACTGCTAGCTGTAGCGGATTTTCCAAAATTCTACCATCTGTATTTGAAATTATTCCTGTCATAGAGGTCGAACTTTTGAATTAATTCATATGAGAACACTGAAACCCCCGATGCCGCCTTCTCACGGACAGGTTAGGAACATTAAAGAGTTGAGGAAACATGAATGATTCAAGATATCAAAACCCTCGGGTTTGAGTTCAAGTCCTCGGGCTCTTGGTTTCTACCACACGCTTTCAACCAACGGCTGCCTCTCCTACCTTGAAAATTACTCAGTTTTTTTTTCCAAAATAATCCCTTGGCAATTTGTAAACCCATCAAAAATTCACATATTGCGATGGCATAGCCCACCTGAAAATGCTCCGTCCATGCAAAATCATTTCCATCGTGTGACAACCCACACAATGGAAATGATTGCACCCTTCCCACCCCCGTACCCCGCCACACTTAATCATAACAAGTGTTCATTGAGTGGTGCCAGACTTGCTCTGAAGGATAAGGACACATACGGATGTACCAGCTGATATCACCACTAACAAGCAGACCATGTACGCTATCAATTGTCATTCCGACTCCAATTCAACGTTGAACGCGTGGCGCATGCCATTAGTCACCCAACGCCCTGTATTGTCTCTACCTCTTCAGTTTGACTAGCTGCCAATTTTCGTGCGCTATATGAGCCAGCAAGATCACCAAAAAAATGGCAAGAATGAAACAACCAGCTGGTTACCTACTCTTACAGTATAAACAGGCATCGTTACATTTCAATATAAAAACCTCACTACAGAATTTTGTACGGTAAAATTGCACAGAGGCCCTCACAACATACAATTATCCATTCAAATATAAATATTACTTCGTATTTACTCAAATAAAACTTACATTTGTCCAATAATTTTGTTCTCCACCGTGTCATCCATAATCATTTGTTTCTGAGTGTCCAATTCAAAGCTTTCCGAATCCCTTCGGATCGGTTGAATTGGTAAATGTCGACGATTCATTGTCGACGGCGACGGCGACGACGACGACGGTGACGACGAGCAGGTCAACGGCGGCAACGACGTTGGCGGCAGCAGCGTTGGTGGCGGTGGCGGTGGTGGCGGCGGCGGCGGCAGCGTGGGCGGGCGAGGACGACGACGTCGACGGCGGTTTCTCGATGCTCAGATGAGCTGCTGACGGTACTATGAAATAACTATGAAGTAATACATAGCAGTTCGTCATCATGAATTTCGTAACATCATGGTTACATAAATACATAGAGACAGATACACGAGAAATGCCCACGGCTCCGATTCCTTTTCAATAGACACCAAAAAAGTACACCTTAGAAATAAAATTTATTGATTTTCATGAAAAGTACGCAGCTCTACAAATTCCTAGGCCACCCTATCAAACTGTTTTCCAACAAAAATATATACAACTCTAAATGCAACATACTTTAAAACCAGTTTAAAACGTAACAAATTTGTACCAATATAAGCCCCCTGAATAAACACAACAAAGAAAAAAGCTTAATAATAAAGCTTAAAAGCGACTTTGGCTGACAGCAAAGGCCAACCAACTCACAAGACACACAATTACGAATCGAAAGCTGATTTCATAACGGAACAGAACATGAAGAAAGAGGGGTAAACGACGAGGAAGCGACGAAAAAAAGTCGAAAAAGAAAGACGAGAACGACCACATGTTAAAGACTGATTCTATCAACAGATAATAAGGCCTCCAAAGACTAGATGAGCAGAGAGAAATTTGAGTAGAACCTAATCTGAGAATAAGTTAATCGCTTAAAAAACTAGTAACAACATAACAATTACTGGATCAATTCTGGTAAGTCGGAAAGATCATCAGAAAACAGATCAGTGCACTTCTTTTTTAACCCGCATGTTATCCCCACAGGCTTTCCCCTTGATGGCTGACTAGGCTTCACAACAACATCGGATTTCTTTTCATTTTTCAGATCCTTAGGGACTTCCTCAACCTCCTTCGAGCGCTTCTCGTCTCCGTTGGGGAGGTCGGCGTTCGTTCGGGGGTCTTCAGCTTTGGTAGGATTTTCCGGTTCCACTGTGCAACCAAGATTCTTCATCGTTTGCTCCAGTAAAGACCGGTTCTCTACAGTCATCGGGTGATCGGCATCCAAGGTAAATTCCTAAATCGGTGAAAATAATTGAAAACAGCCAAAAAGCGCTCAAATAAAATCCGCTCACTCTAAAACCTACCATTATATCTTGTGCTTCACGGAAATACTTTAGTGCTTCTTCATATCGGTTCAGATTATTAAGAAATATACCAATGTTCCTGAAATATAAAAATTGAAAAGTAATGAACACTCATTTACTTCAGAACTTTTAATACATTGACCAATTGCAGACCAAATAGTTGGGCATGCATCATCTGAGATGCGCCACGAACTAGACTTTCCTGCTATCAAGAAACCTCGCTGCTATGAGTACCTTGCCTTTACAATGAATCTTAGGACCATCCGGTTTTAATTACGACGGGCACCTCTAGACGGATCTATCACCAACATATCGTTCATAATGGGACCAACGGTTAAGTTTTCGAAATTCATTCCATGATTCGAGCCTTCGACCTCTTCAGTGGAAGTGGCACCACCTGCCACCATCCCTCGCTGACAAATTACAAAGGACAATTAGTCGAGAAATAACTACAAGCAGAAATCACTCGAAAAAGAGATCTACGTCTTAGACCGCAGCATATATGGCCAGCAGGATTACTGATTGGTCGATATGCGGAGCCAACCAATCACAGTCTTGTTTCGAGTCTAATGACACGCTAACTTTTTGAACTATAACGAGCACTACGATTAAGTAGCTTCATTTTATTTTACAAACCTCAAATGAAATGCGATTGCTGGATGATTTTTTGGAAAACAACGTCGAACGCAATTTTCCGAACGAAGATGTAACCGAAGAAGATCTTGATTGTTATTCGGATCAATAAGTGGAATGAGGTTCTGTAAATGACGACTGTCAGCAACGACTTAATGTAACCATTCAATTAAAACAATGGCTAGCACTTTCAGTGGTTACTTGTAACGAAAATCGGGAAAAGAAGCGAATTTTCATATCAGCAAATCCAATACATTCGCCCAAAAGCTTACACTAGGCGTATGGGAGGAGCTATNNNNACACTAGGAAGAGTATAGTGGAGTAAATATGGGATGCATACGCTACCGTGATCACTGTCATTAACTCCAAAGTAATACAATTGCATCGATGTTACTATTCAATTCGATTCAGGTAAAAACACATGGAACACAGGAGGTCTACTTTAAGAACTTGAAAACCACACCTGAACCAGCTTGCAGAGGTAGATATTGCAACCGGACAAAATCTTTGTAAATCGTTCCAACAAATCCTCCAAGAACTCTACTCGTGTCTTACTTGGCATCTAAAGAACTACAATGACTTTTAAAGAGCATTGCTATATTTCACTGCATATGTATTTATTTAAAGCCTGGCGGCAATAATATAAATGGAACCCATTACTTTACTCACCTGTTCTAGCTCTCTATCCTCGAAAATCTGGTCAATGAATCGCATGGCGTTCACAGCTTCCACTACATAGTCCTGCAACAACAGATATCAGAGCAAAACACCAGAGCCAGCTCCAAATTCCAGCAATACAACTCATGGAACTTGCATGCATCTTCTATACGTCTTGATAACAACTATGAAGTGTAAAGGACAAAGTCCTTTTGCGTTAATCATTCCCGTTTGAGGGATGCGCCCCCGCTTTCGAAATCCTCATAAACTCCTAATGACATATTGAATGCGTATGTGGCCTATACAATAACTTGCGGTGACCAGCCGATGTACAAGCCAGTGCTTTTATCCTCCTAGACGAAACTGGTACAATTTAACCGACCCCGAGGGGACGGAAGGCATGGTTCTCCTGAACGAATATCGATCCGGGATCTGAACCTGTCCATTGGGTATGTGAAATGCGCCACTTGCCACTACACCACTTCTACCCGATAATAACTGTTTCTTGAAAAACCATGCCAGAAACGACTTTCTATTGGTAGGGGGACTACGGTGGGTAAGAAATGTAATGTCACAAACCTCTATTCATATATTACTACTTTGCTCCGTCACAGCAAAGTATCAGTACATGGACAGAGTAGTAATTATGACATTTCAAAATTTTCAGATATCCCGACGTTTTTAGCTCGCATCCCATTTCTGAGATTATATATTGGAATGTCTACAGCCTATCTCTACCGGGTCTTGATAAAAAAAGTGGAGAAGGAGACCTCACCTTTGGAACTTCATTTCCACATCTTTCGCATGTAAGGACACTCGATTTGATATTTTTATATGAATGTTCACCAAATATACATATTTCTGCTCGATTATCTGACTGAAAGCATTAAACACTTTACCGAATGGAGACAATAATTAAAAGCGAAAAAAACTGTAAGTTATAGAAGGATCTTACAAACAGATTGCACTAATAGCATTAACTATACGGAATTATCATAATCGAGTAGTTGCTGCGCTTGCAAAGTGTCTTCATAACTTCATATGCATGACAGAATTCTACAAGTAGCCACCAAGCTTCCTAGAGGCGTTCTCCCACTTTTGGCCATTGATAGAATTGAAAAAAGAGTCTCCCTCTGAAGTACGACGTTATAATCGGCTAATATCAATGGCCAATAGCTCGACTGGCTCCTTTGAGTGGCAGCATTAGCCAGGAGGGGAATGAGACCCGCACAAAACCAAGGGAACGGGGCTCATGTGTATATCTCCCCCCCCCCCCCCCCCCCCCTCCGGGAAGAAAAACACACAAAAAAACACAACACCAAAAAAAA